GAGTCAACCGTGCACACAGCCTGTTCGGCTGTCAGCGAAGGCGAAGACACAGCTAGCGCAGAGGCAGTGACTCGGAGGGCCACGGCGACTACACAGGTCAGCAACATGGTGCGAGAATTGGTGCAGGTGGGAACTGAACAGATCGATTGAGTTCAGTTTATAACACCCACGAGCGGCACAGCGTCGAAGGCTATTCATCGGAAGGGAAGGATTTCAAGAAGGGCATTTGCGATTGGCAGTTGTTCGAGGAGAGGTCATCTCGCCACCGTCCAAGTGCCATTCTCACATGCCGGGCCGGGCGTACGATCGAGCCATGCAAAAGCCCTCGCATGGGAAGATTCGACATTGTTACAGGGAAAGGTCACTGCACTGAGACAGGTCTGGTATGGATCACGGTCAGCGCGTCGTGAGACAACGAATGCTACAGGTGCTTACATTCGTGCCACAGCTGAGCGAGCAGATGAAACTTACATACTTCGCCGGGCCCGTACCAAGGCATCCAACCAATCATCCACTCGAGATGCATTCCTTGTCCTTCGGCGACCATATGATTTGGCCAGAGATTCAGGCGCACACAGGCTACATGGTATCTGAAATACCTCGAAATAACGCGTGTTCTTGCACGAACAATACACCAAACTCGCATCACCATCAACGTACAACACTTCATCCCGTGTAAGCCTGCCATAGATCACGCACCGCCTCGTCATTCGTCATTCATCTTCGCCCCCACGACCCCGGCCCCTTCCACCTTTCGTTCCTCCGCGCGCACGCGTCCCACCGCGAGCACCTCGCGACGTATCAGCTACTCCAGGCGCACTACCTGCATGTCCGTAGGTTTGGGTACCGCCTTGACTGCCACTGGCTCCCGACACAACGGCAGCACCCCTACCACCTGTACCTCCCCTGGCGCGCCCACGACCCCGGCCGAAGCCTCGCCTAAGGAGAGGATTATCATGTACAGGGATGATACCAGGGGCCAGCTTGCCACGACCAGTTCCCTGGCGGAAGCCGCCCGTGCTCCCGCCTCGTCCGAATTTGACGTTTGACGGGATGAGGGAAAGAGCATCGAGGGTGCCCGTCAAACCCTGCATCGCCTCGTCCGGCTTCTGCTGCTTTCGAGACGCGATCTCGGGCTCGTCCGTGTCTTCGTCTATAGGCAACCTCCGTGTGGGCGGTGCGCCCCCCTCTGTTTCAGTGGCGTCTCCCTCGCAGTCGCTAGCGCTCTCAGAGTCCTCGTCCAAAGAGTCCTCGTCTCGCGATCTCCATTGTCCGCGGATCAGGCTCGCGCCATCTCCCCATTTCTTGAGGAGGCCCCCGACGCCTTTGTTCGTTACCGCGAAGAAGTACTCCTTGGGGTATCCGTGTCCTTGTATGAGATGCAGTCGACGCGCCTTTGGGGTAAGGAAGCGGCGCGTGCAGCTAGCTAGATGGCAAGAAAACTCATGCAGATGGCGCGTCAGATGGTGTGAATGGTGAAGCAGACGAAAGGACTCACGATCTTTTCTCCTCTCTCTTTCCTCACCGCAGCGATCGGGTCATGACATTCTGTTTGGTGCTAGTTTAGCCCCACAGCAGCAACGCCTAGTCACTACGAGTATCGAATGAGAGATAAAGGACGCTCACCAGCTCAAGTAGACGTTCATCGGGGAATACACATCCACAGCCATTGTCCTCGCAGACATGGGCATGGAATTTGGCGTAATGCGACTCAAGCTCGGTGCTGTTACCGAGCGACGTCGGACGGTTGTGTGGCGGGTTGCAGGTCGGTGGTAAGGTACACAAGAAAGGCGCAGAAGATGAAGAGACTGAAGGTAAAGCGGTGCGTACGGCCTTTGGCGTTGGCTCAGCGGAAGTTGTGAAGGCCGCAGACTGGGACAGAGAGGTCTGCGAGGTCGCGCGCGGTCGTTTGGACATGTAGACAGCAGAAACAAGAGATTCACCTCCAACGTCCATCCTCGGGCGATATCCATTGAGCGCCCGCTCATCACCAACGACAAAAACAGTTTGGCCAACGCCGGGGTCGAACCGACGACCTTGGCGTTATTAGCACCACGCTCTAACCAACTGAGCTAGTCGGCCATGTGTGTGTCATGTACATACCCAGTCTGATAAGAAATTCACATCTTACAATCTCCGAAAACGTAGTATCCACCGTGTTTCGACATAAGTGAGCGTTTTGATTGGCAACATACACACAGTGCAGTCCACATTATTTAGAAGCATCTTACACACTTTCTCTCCCAACCTCAAGGAATGCAGGATGCATGGAGGGAGCATGTCACATCCGTGACAATGATGTGTCTCCAAGTCTCGAGTCTTGAGAAGGTAGTGCGGGATAGTTGTACTGATAGTCCTCATGTATCTCTCCGTCAAAGCTCGGAGCGAGAGAGTGTGCTATCGGGTGTGAACGGAGTCAGGCAGGGGCGTACGGGCGGCCATTTCCCTACCAATCTTCTGCTCACGACCAACAAACGCGTCGGACAAGACTTTCTGAAGCCGCTGTAACGCCCATTCCGGTCGACATCCCAACTGTCCGCTTCGAAGAACCAGATGTATGTATCCGTGGGCAAGCGCAAAGAGTCACGGAATCAACATGGGCCGCTGCCACTTACCTTGTCCTCCGAACTACTCGACGTCTGGGGGGCTGCACCACACCCTATGCTTCGTATGTAAGTGGGCTGAAGCCTTAGTGACGCGTGGGGTAACACTTGAAACAATGTACCCTCGACGTCCGTCTTCAACTGGTGGGAGACGATGTCTTCTGGCTGCGCCGCGAGCCCAAGATGCTCAGAATGGCTGTCGTGCGTATTTTACTCTGCAGAATTCCGTGTGTCTCACAGCGAAGCATTGAAAGATGAGCTTCGGGAAGACACACAACGGACATAACCTACTCTCGCCCGTTCCCCGACATGCCTTCTGACCGCCATCCTCGGCCGCCGTACGCGCCCCTGCGCATCTGCATTGATCATCGTCCGCACCACAAGCTCTCCCACCGGGCTGATGCACAGGGCCAGGGACTTTCATCCAGGCTCGAGGACATTGCTCCGGCGCACCGTCTTCTCGTGCGTGGTAGCTCGCCTTTTCGCCGATCTTTCAGTTTGGCCCACCATCATCAACCTTCTCGCGGCTTTCCCAAGCACACGGCCCCCGCTAGGCTGCATTCTGGATAAGCTGCCCTGCGAGCCGCCCTATACGCCCCTCACGTGTGCGCCCTGGGGCTCAACCTTGTCACAGAACAGGCACGCGACACCCGGCCGCCTGGCATGCTAGGCTATCCGCGGCATAGCTGGGAGTCTTCTCAATAACAACTGACTCCTCCTCGCTTCGCAGCTTACTATGATCAGGACAAATAACAGGCTGGGCGCGCCTGCGCTTCTCGCACACCACCGAGCATTGACAGGCGGCCGTGGACCCGCAAAGGTATAAACCCTCGCCCGCAGTGATGCGGCCTGGAACCTTCACCCCTCCCGCTGCATGCTCGCACACTGATACTTGCACACGATGTTCAGGACGACTGCAGCCCGCGCCCGCGCCCCCTTCGCTCTGAGGCGACCATTCTCCTCGACTGCCCGTCTTTCTCGCCCGCGACCTTTGGCCTTCCCTGTGGCGCCCCTGCGGGCGCCCGTAGACCTGCTCCGCGGCCAGCTGCTGGTCCGTGGCGCGGCAAGCTCTGTGTCGACCAAGCCCGGCTCGCAGACGATCCGACAGGCGGCAGTGAACATCAAGGAGGAGCTCGGGAACTCGGGCGCCGACCTCGCGAAGACAATCGCGGGTGCGAACTGGTTCCAGGATGCAGTGGTGGCCAATCCCAAGCGCGACACATTCGTGAGTGCGCCTGTAGCTGACGTCGTCTGCTTGAGCTCAGGACCACCGCGGTAGCTCGGGATCACCAATGCAGTCGCGTATTCTGTCCCCCCACAGTACATTACCTTTGGACTCATCGGCGGCTTGCCCTACCTCGGCACCGGAGCCGCCACGATCTACATGGCTCAGCAGGCGGGGACCGCTTTAACAGGTCAGTCATATTTGACGTCCGCCCTGGGCAGTGACGAACTGGCATAGATTTCACGTCGCGCATCGACCCCGGTGTTGCGATTACCATGCTCGACCATGCGCTGCACATCCAGATGACGTACGGCGCGGTGATGCTGTCTTTCCTTGGTGCCCTGCACTGGGGCTTTGAGTTTGCGGGCTACGGCGGGCAGAAGGGGTGCGTTTGCTCCCGCTCCGTCATGAGAGTCCTCGCTGAACAAGATGACGACTTGACAGGTACCGTCGTCTCGCTCTCGGCGTGGTCCCCGTAGTCTGGGGTTGGTCGACGCTCGCCCTCGGGCCCGTAGAAGCACTCATCGCGCAGTGGGTCGGCTTCACGTGGCTCTGGTGGGCCGACCTCAGGGCCACCAGCGCGGGTTGGAGTGAGTGCTTGTGCGTCGGCGCACGATGCGTTGGCTGACCGACTGTCGTCTAGCACCGCGGTGGTACTCGCAGTACCGCTTCTACCTCACCCTCCTCGCAGGGGCGAGCATCATCGGCACCCTCACAGCGACGAGCTACTGGGGCCCCGTCGGCGGCCATGGGCTCGTAAGCCACGATCTCCACATGGTACGCCCTCGCCTGCGTCCGCGCATCACACGCTGAACGGTCCACTTGTACACAGATTCGCGCGCTGCGTAATAAGGAGGAGCCGCAGAGTGCGGGCTTCGTGGGCGGCGATGTCGAGTCCGTCCCCCATGACGGCGACGCGTACGTGCTCGTGAGGAAGCGGCGTGCAGCCGAGCCCCAGAACGAAGGCGGAGGCGACTCGGAGGGTGCAGCTGCAGCGACGGAGCAGTGAAGAGCGGATTCGGAGTCATCCTGGAATGGTGTGTACCGACGATGTACCATCAGTGTAGCAAGTAGTGTTCGCAACAATGTAATCAATAATATATGTACCGTCATGTAGAGGAGGAGGCAGTGGGTGACTGATAGATATTGCAAGTCCCAGATGGTTTTCAAGTTCTCTGTTAGTATATCGGTTAGTACACGCGCCTGTCAATCTTCGGGTCGCGCGAAAGCGGGGTTCGACTCCCCGACAGAGAGTTTGGATGAAGCTTTTCACTCAGTATTTTGTCAATTTTAGCACAAACCAGCGCACCTACGCAATGATATATCAATGTCCACGCTCTCAGAATTCAAGGAGACCAAGCTGGGCGGTCTAGCTATGGAAATCATATTGTCATAAGGAATCCGAAAAACGCTGGATAGTACTACGCGCATTACACAGGGATAAAGTAAACATAAGGAGGTATATCCAGCAGCCTACGTACAATACCAATATCGTCATGACATGTCACATTCAGATGACTCTAACTCTGTTCGCAGGGTATCATCATCGACCAATGTCGCCTCTTCCTCCCCCTCCCCCTCTGCCGTACTGGCTAGCACGGGCTGCTCAGCGAGCTGCCGTCGCCGTTCTCCCACTTTCCAGATCACGTCCTTCAGCTCCTGCACGACCTCCCCGCCGGGGCCCCACCGCTCGCTCTGCGGCCGTGGCGGTGCGTCGAGCACAAAGCCAGACCTCCCCTCTCTACGCGCGGCCTTCGCAAGTCTAATGCGATCCTCCCGGGAGAGCTTCGAGCGCTCCCTTGCGAACGCGGGCGCCGCGCCCGTCTCCGCCTCGTACACCTGCTCCGCGCCGGGTGGCGGGAGGTGCTGCGAGGACGTCGCCATGAGCAAGTGCGCGGTGGCGTCGTCAACGTCATGGTCGTCATCCGCGTCGAGGGACAGCCCGAGCGCACTGTCGACGAGTATCGCGGGCGCGGGCGACGACGGCCCAGGCCTCTCGGACGTGTCGCTCCCGTTGTCGTGGCGTAGTCCGGGAGGGCCGTCGGGCGACGCTGGTGAGTCGGGCGCAGCTGAGTGCTGCGGGCCTGCGACGATATCAAGCAGGCGCTCCCGGCCGCGCTCGCACTCGCGGAGGGCATATCCAAGCTCCTTGCGCAGACGGTCGTACGCCTGGAAGGCGGCGTGCTCTTGCACGGCAGACGCGCTGGCGGGTGCCTCGGTGGGTGTAGTGTCCCGCAGGGAGGTCACACACTCTTCCAGGTGCTCGCGTGCGTCGTTCAGCGCGGCAGACATCGCATCTACGTGCGCCGCAAACCGTACCAGGTGGCTTGGCACAGGTGCGAACGAGACCATCTCTGCCATCGTCCGCGCAGGCGCGCCCAACCGCACGGTAGAGAGATCGAGAGAATTCCGCGGGGTGGGCCGCTCGTCGCGGACACGGTTCTTCGCTGCGAGGTCGAGCGCCTCTGTCAGCCGCGCGGACGCGTCCTCGAATGTCGAGCGCAGGAGTGCCATGACGGAGCACACGTCCTCCCAGTACGCATTGTCCTCGTCCTCGCTAAAGCGCAGTGCGAGTAGATGCGAGCTCGCGTAGCGCTTCGCGGAAAGTGCGCCGTGCAGCGCGAGCTGCAGGCCCGTCAGCGAAAGTGGGTGCCGTGTCGTGTGTACGGTCGTGAGCCGCGAGGCGGATGCGATCGTCGGTTGCGGCCCGAAGGACGTGCGGTGTGGGTGCCGGGCGGAGGTGGTATAGCTCGGGGGAGGGGTATTAAATAAGTCCATGGCGGCGCTTCTGCGTTTGCGTTGGAGGTCGAGGACAGCTGCTCCAAAGTACTCGCCGTGGGTAAGCGACGCATCAGAGTCCGTGTCGTAGTCGTCTTCGCACTCTTCTTGTACAGGCGTGATGCGCTGTGGCGTCGGGGGCTCACTGATTGAAATCTTGGAAGACTGGGGCTCGAAGAGGGACGTGAGATCAGCGCTGCGACGTGAGCGACGCTTCTGCAGATGCCCCAACGGACTGCCCGCCTGGGCAAGCGCAGCGTACGACCCGTTCCATGTGGAACGCTTACTCGTGGGCGTGGATATGGTACGTTGCCTGGCTGAAGGGACTGAGAACGGGCGAGGGTGATCTAGGAGGGAGGAAGCAGGCTTCGGAGGAGACGAAGGCGCATACATTTCGGAGATTTGGGAGAGCTGAGTTGGATCAGTGAGCGCCGAGAGAAGCTGGCGGACGTTGTCACACTGATTTTGTGTTGTGTGCAGGGAAGACTGCAGCGTCACTCGTAGGCTAGAGGATGGAGAACGTGGACTTGTGGGCCCATAGAAGATACTGTGACGGCGATGAGTCGAAGTGGTAGGGTATTGGAATCGTACTCACCTCCGTTCCTCCTTTTCAATGATAGAAATGGCTTCAAGCACTTCAGAGTCCCAGACATTGCCGGCTCGGATGAGCTGACTGACTGCTTCCAATGTCTAAATGGAACGGTGAGCATCCCATGGGAACGTGGATGAGGCGGGGCGTACACTTGCTGTGGTCGTGGCCTTCTCTGCGCTCGCCTTGGACGAATGCCACGAATACGTCGCGGCCAACATGAGAAATATAGCTACAAAATAGTACTCCGCTGCCAACGCAACCGCTGCAACCGCCACCAAAGGTACCGGCACCTGGAATTCGGAAAGCGGAGAGGGAGAAGTCAGAGTTTGAGACTTGTCCCCATCGGACGAACCTGCGTCGCTGGCATCGTCTAGCTTTCCGGGGAGATCGACTCCAAAGGTGCGGCGTATAGTGGGGGTTGGGGCAATAGCGGATGAGAGGAGGGAGGAAGAAATGAGATCGTACTTGAAGCGTTCAGCGAAAGCGTTCTCAGACGATTGCCTGTACTCGAAGAAGGAAGCTGCAACCTGCAGAAATGGGGAAGCTCGTGAGTACATGTAAAGGACAGGATTGAGATAGAGTGAATCAGTGGATGTCTCGTTCGTCTGGCCGTCAACATACAAAACTTTCGGGGTCGATGCATGACGGGTCGGTGGTGTAGCGAGGATAAATGAGTACCATCAGGTAGAAGCTGTTGTTTCGTCGTGAAAACAAGTGTACACAATAGCCGACTCAGGCAGGAGCGGTGCCCGGCATAGCAAGGGCATAACAAAACAACGCTGACAACCAACGGGCCGTGGCTTGCAGGCGTAAACGTAACCAACGTCGGCATCGTATGACCCACGGGCGATGACGCTGTGCCAAATATAGCGGCCAGACCTCGCTAACGAACCCGCCTGGTTCGCTAAGAAATTCCGTAGTTGGAAACGGGAGTGTGCAGCCGATGCATCGCAACGCCGCCTTGCCGCCAAGGCAGAGTATATGCGCTCGAGAACTGCCAAAGAAGTGTATGCCTGTCCGGCGAGAGGATGGCAGATGGGCGGCGCTGCGGCGGCTCGGCAGAGACGTCGCGGCAGTGCGTCGTGTGAATGCGGCTTGTAGGGGACGGAAACGGGCACATGGGGACTGGGAGAGAGAGAGAGGAGGCACACCTGAATGAGATTGACAAGGGAGGGAGGCAGTCGTTCTAACGCGAACAAGGGCTCCTGGCATTCGTCTTCGCCATCGTCGGGCTCTTGCAGAAACTCTGGGATGGCACCTGGAATGGGCTGCACCTCGCCGGCAACTGAGAGGGGCAACGAAGGTGAGTTGGCAGATAGGGTGGCGGGTTGATGAATGGACGCACGTCTGAAGTACTCCTCCAGCGGGTGATCGTCAAAGACGGCTTCGGCCATGCAGCGAGCAGAGATGGCGACGGCAGCGAGGTCGTGAGTGTTGGGAGAGAAAAGGAGCGGAAAGGTTGAGAATAAGAAACAGAGTAGCGAACAGGAGAAAGCCTCGTCTAAGTACCCGCGATCACGTGTATTGTTCCCCCCCTCCGCGTCTCCATCCTCCCTCATACACCGCAGGACGCTGTAGGGGCCGAGTGGGCCCTCCATGCACCATTATTGATCTCGACATGTCTCCGTTTGCGAGCGTATAGTCAGCCGCAGACATGTCAGCCGCCCGGTTAGCCTTCAGCACAAGAAACGCGGGGTTTCTCAGATTTCGCCATTCCGGTCACCGCCATGCCATCGTGGCACAGACTGCCCGCCCGCATCCTGTCGACCGTCTGGCTCTCTCACTCAGCTCACGCAAAGATCCACCACCCTCTGGCCTCCTTCCTCCAGAAGCGCATCGAAGGCACCACCCGCGACCCGTACACTGTCATCGGCAACGCCGCCGTCGAGGAGGACGCAGCGGACGTGCCCCTGGACCACTCAACCGCACTCACCTACGTCCTCTCCTTCTGCATCATTGCCGCCGCCGTCGCAGGCATCTTCGCCGCCACCGTCGCAATCAAATACCGACGCCGACGCCGTCGAGCCGCCGCCGCCGCCGCCGACGCGTCAGACGCGCAGGCTGCCTGGGAGAAGCTCGGGACCGGCGCTGACACTCAAGCTCGCACCCGCGTCCCCGGCGCGCACGCACGCGACCACTTCAAGCGCATGGGCATCTTCCAACCGGCCTCCGCCTGCCTCCGCCAGCTCGACTCCCGCTTCCCCTGCCGCTGCCTCCTCTGCGCCTCCCCCATCCACGAGGCCCCAGCGCGCAATCCCAGAACAGACTCACGCCCCCCGCTCCCAAGCGACGCGTCGCGGGGACAGTTCGTCCCCCGGCGCACGCGCAACGACGAGAACGCGCTCGAGGGCCCTGTCCGCGCGTGCCCCACGACGCCCGTCTCGCCGTACGAGCACGAGTGGACGCTCGTCCATCACATCTCGCTCCCCGTACGGACCGGACCCTTTGAACCGGCGCGGCTCTCGCAGATGTCACCGCTGTCCAGCCTGCGGTCTTCGCTCGTCCGCGAGCTCGAGCGCCCACCCTTGCTCTCGGACGACTCGGGCGCGTCGACGATCAGGGTCACTAGCTCGAATTCGAAAGTGGGCAGTCTCGAGGAGAAGGAGGGCCCTTTCCATGAGGAGGCGTCGGTGACCCTGGAGACCGTCGCTGCATTCAAGGTGTGTTGACGATGGGACAGTTAGCTAATGAGGGGCACTCACGATGACTCGTAGCTCGTCCCACTGGAAACAGATTTGGCGAACAAGCACGCATGGATCTCCGATGCTGACTGGGTCCTGGAGAACGAGCCTCCCGTGCAGCCGCTTATAGAGGATGCTCACTCAGAGATGTGCTGTGCTCCCGGTGCGAAGCCGGCGGTGACTCGGTTTCCGTTGGCAAATGT